ATTTAGATTTAACATTTAGATTTAAAATTTAACATTTAGGTGCCACATTTAATATTTAGATTTAGATTTAGATTTAACATTTAGATTTAGATTTAGATTCAATATTTAGATTTAACATTTAGATTTAATATTTAGATTTAGATTTAGATTTATCATTTAGATTTAACATTTAGATTTAGATTTAACATTTAGATTTATAATTTAACATTTAGGTGCCACATTTAATATTTAGATTTAGATTTAGATTCAATATTTAGATTTATCATTTAGATTTAAAATTTAACATTTAGGTGCCACATTTAATATTTAGATTTAACTATTTAATATATTGCTAAGTTAACAAATATTGCTGTAAATGTGGTAAAAGGTGACGTTAAAAAATTCACAACACTTTTCTGAACATTGTTTGAAGCTAAATGTGGCAAAATGTTGATGTTATTTTCAGCATGAGACACTTTACAAACGGCACCCCATAGCCGTCAGCCTCCATTAGGTGGAGTTGTGTTGCTACCTCCTCTCCCCTTGGATCTCTGGAAGTGTTGTGAGGACTCTAAAACTTCACCTGAGCCTCTCTTGGCATATGGGTGAGTAGATAATGGCTGAATTTTCATTTTTGGGTGCACTATCCCTTTAACTGTGGTTGTTGTCCAGCCACATTTCCCCCGATGCACCGGCGCTGTTAAACATTAACAGCAACCAGCTATGTATCATGCCGATGTGAAAGGACAGCTTTTTTCGTCAGTGTCTGACGCTGAAGCTAAGCGCTGGTTTCTGAGGACTTTAGAGTGAGACCAGGGTGCTAATGCAGTGATGTCTCAGGAAAAAAACCAAATGCGTTTCCTCTGGTGAAAACACACTGACAGGTTGTTAAAAAACACCCAAGTCTGATGGCTAACAATCTGCCAGAAGATGCAGCAATGACTAAATATAAACTGTTTGTAGCCTGGCAGGCATCACTGCATCACTTCAGAAACGCTGATATGATAGAGGTTCGCAGAAACATTTTCTATAGCGACTGAGCTGATGCATTCATATGTGTGGGGAGGCATCATACGCAGGCTCTCAAGTTATTTTTCTTGTTGAGTTGTGACATTAAACCATAGATATTCTTCCCCCTCCCCAGTGGCCCTCAGCGGAGATGACGGCTGGTCCATGAACGTGCAGTCGGAGGTCCGAGCCATGGAGGGCTACCCGGTGGTGCTGCCCTGCACGTTTAGCCACCCTCAGCACTCCCAGCATTCCTCCCTGCAGGTGCTGTGGCGTCTGGGCCACGGTCAGAGCGCCACTGTCTTGTACCGCTGCACCAGCCGGCTCGGGGCCCCCACCTGCGACCCGGGGCCCCAGCAGGACCAGCGCTACAGACTGGAGGGCAACCCAAGGGAACACGACCTGTCACTGCGGATCAACAGCGCCAACCTGCAGGACAGCGGACGCTACTACTGCCGGGTGGAGGTTCAGGGACGAGAACACATCAGCTTTGAGGACAAGATGGGGACCAGGCTGAGAGTGGAGGGTACGTTCATGCAGACCTAAAGCTACGTTAACACTGAGACATCATGTGCATGTTGGGGATTAAAACTCTGTCTGATGTTACAAAGTCTAAATGCAGATGTATTCGTCCTCCCGTCTGTCTGCAGCTCCTCCAAAGATCCTGGCGCTGTCGGTGGAGGGCAGTGAGCAGTCTGGGTACAGAGCCCTGTGTCGGGTCCAGGGCTCCCCGCTGCCGGACGTCCAGTGGCTCGGCCCCGACGACCTGCTGGAGGGTGTTGCGGTCGGTCCGCTGGCTCAGGGCTCCGCTGCTCTCTACCACACTGTCAGCCAGCTGAGAGACGTGGAGCCAGGCCAGCAGTACACCTGCAGTGCCTCCAACCCGCTGGGCAAAGAGCAGGCCACCCTGTATGTCCTGCCCCCCCAGCCCCCGCTGTACATGAGCGGGGCCTCGCCTCCTCTACTGCTCCTCCTGTCGGTGTCTCTCGGGGCCAAGGTCCTCCTGCTGGTGGGGATGGGGGTCTGGATGGTGCAGGGAGGAGCTCTGCAGGGAGTCAGCTGCTGGTGGAAATAACCTGCACTGAAATAAACTAATGTATATACTTTATGTAACACTGACGCCCCTTACTTGGCATTTATAAGCATTTAATAGATATTTATAAACTGTCAATCACTGTTTATTAATGTGTTTGCAAAAGCTATAACCCGTCATGTGGACAGCCATAAGTGGAGGCCTTTGCAGCAGGTTGAACAGTTTCCTGGACAGATCTGTATAATGTACTGAATTAATGTCCTTGAAATAAATGCTCAATTTAAAATGAGCAAATATTTGTTCTCTATCAATTTCTTATTAGACATTTTGTTTCTTATGTCATTTAATTCAACAACCTCAACATGATTAGAAATGATTCTGTAAATTAAAGTGTTAAGCCCCGTCTCCACCAAACCCTTTCAGTCCAGCACCTGTGGAACCAGCAGTAAGCCTTCAGACATGGTACCTAGACCCTCGGTCTGTTCAGACAGTCCTCTTAAATGTGGGCGGGGTTGTTGTCACTCACTGCTCCGTCCAGCACTCGCTGTATTTCCTCATCAGCGGTGACACAGATGGAAGTCTGCACCTGGTTTATCGTCCACAGAACGAGGCTGCACGCCCACATTTTCACAACAAAATAGAACAGGCTGCAGTGAGAGTCTCTCTCCATGGGATATTTAAAAATAGCAGCTTTGTGCATTTAGTCCTTCTCAGGCAAGCTCAGGGGTTTAGTGTTGCTGTAGCCCACAGGAAGTGAGGATTAGAATATATGACCTTCACATAATCCGCTCCAAATTAATCTATATTTTTAAAGTCATTACTAAAAGTGTGTGTCATATAAAAACTAAAGTGATGGTCAAAGTTGTCACAGTGAAATTTAAGGTGTGCTGATGGATTCACGTCATCAACTCATGCATTGAGTAACATTACAAGTTAACGTTCCACCTTAAAAGTTGCCGGCAGTCGGCCCAGTGAATGAAGCTATTTTTTTCTCTTTCATTTTATAGTTGTAGTTTACTGATGTATGAACAGAGGTTACATAAAACCAGAGTGAGCGTCCTCTACTGACCAATCAGACTGCAGGGTTTCTAGCTACACCTTTTAGTACCAGATCTGTGTGCTAGGTACCCCAACAGAGGGGGGACCAAACATGGGGACGCTAAGGAACGCTTCTGTTGGGACCATCCACAACTTTTACTGTGGAGACAGAAACAAACTGAACTGCTCGATGGAAACGAGGCTTAGCTGATGTTGTTGGAATACAACCGATAAGTAAGAGCTAGAGTTAGAAATACTCAAAGAGCACTCTGGCACAAACAGGATGTAAATTTGGAACACTGTTGCAATATATTGTTAATATATCATTATCCAGAGCATCGCACTGGAGTGACAGAGCAGCAGAGCGCTGAGCAGAGTGAATGTGTGATTAAATTAACTGTTCGTTAAGTCATGTAGACATGGGACGCTCCCTTTATCTAACAGCTCTCTCATTTTAGCGTCGAGCGTCAGACTGAATTCACAAACGCACCATAAGTCAGTCCATCAGTGATTCTCAAATTCAAGGATGGTTCCTCAGTAGGACGGGTCCTTCCAAGTCAGGTCCTACAGAGGCTAGGTAGGACTCCTTCCTACCATTCAGTGAACACACATGGGAATAGGCTAGCAAGTGTCCAGGTGTGTGTCACTGGCCCCACCTTCAATTCTGGAAAATTGTGCACATACCCACATGCATCCTTGAAAATTCCCTAAAGGAAGAACTCAGTCCTCAGTAGAATCTGAAGGATCGTTCTGAAGGATTCGATGACGTAGCCTCCTTGAAATTTAACGATCCTCCCTTTTCTTTGAGAAGCACCACGTGTCCCTTCCTTCTGTGCCAGATCTTCTTCTCCTTATTGTGAGTTCCAGCATTTTTAGCTCAGTATTCCTAGTGTGTGTGTGTTTAGACTTTTGCTCCCCACATCTGCCTGTTGATCTGGATATTTGCCTGTTTGACTGACTGTCTGTTTACCGGCCTGTGCTCGATTAAAACCCCTGAACATTATCCTGTGTGTGTCTGCTTTGTGGGTCCATCATTAGTTTGTGCCTGATAGCAAGATCTGGCACAGAAGCAAGGGAAGACAAAGACTAGATGCACTAGGAGAGGGAAGACGAGAGACACAGGTGCAACACATGAGGGCGGAAAACTTGACAGGAAGTGGATCTGAAATGAGACAAGAGTTAAGTGACCAAAATAAGATAGGAAATTTTGGGGGCAATATGTGAAACAACCGAACATGACTTAATGTGTCAGGACAGGATGTGACTACATATGATAAAGATGTGATATTTGTCAAACAGCAGTTTGGTTGATGTGGTTTCTACCGTGAAACACTGAAATCATCTGTATGTTTAACAAAAGCAGAACGGAGCAGCTCAAAAAGTTGAAATAGGTTGTTTCACATTTGGTTTTTTAAATTATCAACATCATCTTTACACTGACACATGTCATATTTAAATATCTGCTGAGCATGTGTGAAATAAAAACCAACGGCAGTCCAGTTTCATACATTATATTAGATTTAATAAAACTGTTAGAGATTAAATTAAGTTTATTAAAACACAAAAATGAAGCAGATTATGTCCTTTAACCAATCAGATCACAAACTCAGTCAGTTATTAATTATCTGATACATACAGAGCTAAAAAGCAGCTCAATAAGTAAATATTCAATCAAACCACAATCTGACATTTATTTTACCATATGAAATATTATTACACCATATTAATTTGTAATGTGTCGTAAAACAGCAAAACAAAGACAAAAACTGTACCATTAAATATAAGCTGAGATAGCCACAGTTAGCTTTAGCCCAGCTGTTTCCTGTGACTGAAAAAACTATTTGGTCAATCCGACGGTATCCAGAGCATTCTGCCTGAAAAGCAAATGTTCTGTATCAGTCAGGCTCCAGACTTTACAGTTTGCATTTAAGAAATTCTGCTTAACTTTTTTGAAAATCTACATTGTATATATTCCGTGTTGGCTGTACTTTGATATTTTTTTGTAATTTTGTGTTTAGTGGGAAAGTCGGGAGCTTAAACCTGGTGTTGTATTTTTCAGGACACAGACAAACCTCATCAAACTACATGACTGACAAAACTAGCTGAAGGTGTGACACTCAGGTTCATGAACATTTCTGAAAAACCTTTTCCTTTGTCTGTGGAAATCTTTCAACTATCAACACAGATTTAATCTAAACTGTAACATTACTGGAATAACTTTTATGATTCTGATAATATTAATTATATTAGGACATGGCTGCTACAGAATGGTCATGGGTGCCTGTTTTTCAATGAGTTTTATCCGTGTTTTCCGTCTTGGTAGCCGTCGTCAAATTGTTGAACCATCGATGGGGAAGAGGACGGGTTCTTTGTAGCAGACAGGATGGGCGGCCTTGCAGCAGTCCTCGTCACTCCAGCCAAAGTCGTGGCCTTTTTCCAGACTCATGATAGCACACTGACCATCATGCACCGTGCCGGGCTCCCCCTCCCCCCAGTTGGTGTCACTGACCGCAGCCTTGTTCAACCAGTACCATTCCCCAGACTGGGAGCTCCGACGCAGGCCGATCCACACCACCTGCATGCTGCTATTCTTGGCCTGCAGGATTTTTTCGTACAGTTGTCTCTGGAGTTGGGCCTCAGGGAAGCTGACCAGTTCCAGTCCGTTGTCTCTGCAGTACTTCAGAGATTCTCGCCAGCCGTTTGCCACTTCTCCGATTTTCAAGACCCCAGGAGACAAGATGCAACCCCTGAAATCTGTTGGGGCGTTCAGATGAAACATGACAGAGACAGAAATTAGACGTCACCTTTAATCAGAACATTAACATGTTTACATGTTACTCATTTACAAAAATCAGTCGGTGGTTTCTTTTGTGCGTCGTTCTGTGGAGGCCTGCTTGCAATAGCTTAGCAACAGAGCTGTAACAGTTCTGTACTTGTGCCGAACCATCACAGTCCGGGGATCATGGTCCCAGAGGCAGGAGGCCCCGATTACACAGAAAGTGCTTCCCAGGTTGCAAAAGTGCACTGCCTTTTTTTTTAATTGAAAAAAGAAATTGGTTAAAAAAAAAAAAAAAGCCTTCTGCACCTTTTTAGTGTTGCCAGGCAACCACCCCATCATTTCGTTACCTTTACCTTGTTGTGTAATCTACTGTTTATTTATTTATTTATTGTATGTATCCTGCAGTAATCAGTGTGTAGCTGCTGCCATGTTGAGGCAGAGGGTGCTGTCTGTAGCTCTGGTTGAGGGTGAGAGGCTGTCAGCAGATAAACAGAGATCTGTGTGGGTACATGAGACCCTAAAAAAGGGGCTGGATCATGGGGAGTACCACCAGTTGGTCCAGGAGCTTCTCCTCCATCATGGACGTTTATAGGCATATTTTCTCTGGCTAAAACACCAGGCGCCTAGAGAGCAGAAACACGAGGTGCGTAGCAAAGCAAAAACAGCATAAAGCTTAATTCTCATTTAAAACTGTTCCAAAAAGGCGCCTCCAGCTGCTGAAACAGTTTCTGTGTGATCAGAGCCTCAGAGGTGTGACGGGGCTGACACAACAGCATCTCCCTCTAGTGTGACATATAATGAAATCGTCAGCAATAACGATCATTTACTGTCCCTGTTATACGGCAGCTGATCTCGTCCCCTGCTTGGAGAGTAAGGAGCTCCCAGACTTCATTGTTTTCCCAATTTGTGGACATTTTGCTGCAGTTTTTCTTTGAGTGAGCTGCTAACTGCCACTAGCTGTTTTTGAAATCTCCCAGGGGTTGGTTGTGCACATAACATGTCGTCAAAACATCCTATCCACCCCTTCCATTGTCCAGTCCTGCTGGCTGTCCTTTTTACACAGATGTCAAGTTGGCGCTGTTACTGCCTCCACTGCCAGTTTCAAAGTGAGACAACTCTGTTCCCTCATTCCACAATCGTACCTTTTAAAAAGAACAGCATAATAACAGCACAACATTCCCACCTTGAACAGGCAGTGTAAAAGGGGCTCACTTAATGTGTGACCCTCTGTCGCTGATCAATAGACATGAAAGTCGTCAAAGTTTCCTTCCGACATCCATCTTCAAGTGAAGGTGGAGGTCGGACTGTGACTGTGTGGCTCGTGTTTAAAGTGCAATTCCATACCTGGGGACGTACTGATGATGGGCGCCGGGTTCCCAAACAAAGTACCTTCCTTATTGCCCACAAAGTAGACAGCCATCTTGGAAGAAGAATGCCAGATGACGCTTTTGCCTGACGCCACTCCAGTAAGTGCCGAGACGTAGTCCGTCCCTTTCAGCTCCTGCCAGTCTGCATCCTCCAAAAGAGCACTATTAACATGAACCCCATCAATGAAATCCTTGTGGACCACGATCACAGCGAAACTCTCCGTATCAGGGATGGAGCTGATGACATAGCAGGCGGCAAAGTCTGTCTCTGGGATGAGGGTGAGGAGTAAACCCGGACGGTAGAAGATGGCTGTGCCAGCTGCCTCGACCAGCGGCGAGTCTGGGTTGAAGGCCTTCACTTTGGAGGAATCCTTCTCTGTCAGAAGTACAAGAGGTTCGTCTTCAGCATCCTTGGCCAGAACAGGAGGAATGTAGAATTTCAGCTTCTTTTCTGTGGCTGGCTGCAGCGAGGTGTACAGCTGCCCGCAGGTGCAGTTGTGCCGGATGGCGCAAGCGTGACCAAAGAGGACCGCCACGGGCTGAGTGGCTGTCACAGTTCGCAACGTCCTATTTTCTTTTAACCACATTTGACTTATCTGGTGGGGCTGAAGTGAAACCACTTGGGTGTCTGCACCTTCAACAGTTACAGTGTTTTCTTCGTCTGCATTAATTATAATGAGTCTGAAAGGGCCTCTTTCAGTCACGTCTGTCGTGACAATGTTCGCAGGGGCAGTGGTTCCTTGGATCACTGGTACCAGCGGGATGAGGTACTTTGTGCCCAGTCTGTCAGTAGGAATAACCAGAGCAGTCTGCATGCTGTTGCTTTTTTGGCTGATGGCAAGGACCGTGATGTTCTTTGTGCTGGTAATTTGGACTGACCTGTCGTAGACTGTTTCTGACCTCCACATCTCCTTTCTGTTATCAATTGGGATATCCAGAGTCGCTCCTGCGCCCAGTGTCATTACTGTACTATGGTCGGGGTGCGCTGTGATGGTGACCTTGGTTTGATCATGCATGGCGGTGATTTGGACCTTGTTTTCAGGTAGAATAGGATAATAATAGGCGATGTTCTCCGGAAAAGCAATAATGAATTTTAGACCAGTGTTGTCTTCAGGCGGAGTGACTGTGGACTCTGAGAAAGAAAGAAAGAAAATATATGCTGAAGCAAAAAAACTTAAACCTTCAGTTGTATTTTTTCAGAAAGTAAAACCCCACAAAGCAATATTTTTATCCCATGTTATGTCTGTACACCTCGATGTAATTTCAGCTGGAGCCATTGGGAGGGAATATGGGGTGCCATTTGTAAAGTGTCTCACGCCGAAAATAACATCAACATTTTGCCACATTTAGCTTCAAACAATGTTTAAAAAAGTCTACTCAAAGTACAAGTCAAATAAAATTTCTCCAAACACGTTTCTTGTTATTTCAGGTAGTTATTATCACGCTAATGTATGTTCAAGTGTCCATTTCCCCCGATAAGTTGGTTTTAATTCGTTATTTGATTCTATAAACACAGTCTGACCATCTCGAGCTTTTATTTTGGTACTTTGGTACTAAATATTTAGTTTCACCCAGAACATTTAGATTTAACATTTAACATTTAGATTTAGATTTAGATTTAGCATTTAGATTTAACATTTAACATTTAGATTTAGCATTTAGATTTAACATTTAACATTTAGATTTAGATTTAATATTTATATTTATATTTAACTTTTATATTTATATTTAATATTTAGATTTAACATTTAGATTTAGATTTAACATTTAACATTTAGATTTAGATTTAACATTTAGATTTAGATTTAGATTTAATATTTATATTTAATATTTAGATTTAACTATTTAATATATTTCTAAGTTAACAAATATTGCTGTAAATGTGGTAAAAGGTGACGTTAAAAAATTCACAACACTTTTTTAAACATTGTTTGAAGCTAAATGTGGCAAAATGTTGATGTTACTTTCAGCGTGAGACACTTTACAAACGGCACCCCATAAGGGAAGAGTGCCGTATGGTTTATAAAAGAACTTGTGATTTACAGGGTAGTTTTGTTGTTTGAAACCAGGTAAATAATTACTGGTTCCTACTGGTGGTTAAATGAGGGTACAGTGGGAGAAAACATTACGGTCTGTGTGAAGCTAAAATAAATACCCATAAAATTATATTTTAAAACCTAGTCCCAATTAAACTCCCAATCTCTTCTACTACTTATTACCTATTTGGACAAATAAAGGTCTCAGTTAAGTCCTGTTTCCACCGAGCAGTTCAGTTCAGTTCAGTTCAGTTCAGTTCAGTTCAGTACTCATTGTTTTTCTGTTCCCACAGTGAAAGTTGTGGATGGTCCCAACAGAAGCGTTCCTTAGCGTCCCCATGTTTGGTCCCCCCTCTGTTGGGGTACCTAGCACACAGATCTGGTACTAAAAGGTGGAGCTAGAAACCCTGCAGTCTGATTGGTCAGTAGAGGACGCTCACTCTGGTTTTATGTAACCTCTGTTCATACATCAGTAAACTACAACTATAAAATGAAAGAGAAAAAAATAACTTCATTCACTGGGCCGACTGCCGGCAACTTTTAAGGTGGAACGTTAACTTGTAATGTTACTCAATGCATGAGTTGATGACTGTTGATGAATATCTGAAGCCTAATTTTTAAACAAATAATATTCAGACTGGTTCAAACAAACAATTTGATTGTATTTTCCATCTTTAATGGGCAACAGTAGTTTTGTGTTAAAGAAGTCAAAGGCTCAATAAGTTCAGTGATTGAAGCCAATAATAGCCCGGGCTACTGATTGAAGTTTTACGGCTCATTCTCACAACACACAAAATAATTTATTCTTGCACTTTCTCTCAACATAAGAAAAGAATTAACACGTGATGTCAAGATATCAGAATTTAAAATATTATTGGGAAGACTGCCATCCTCGGTGTCCATACCGCTGTGAGAGATAATAAGTTACATGAAAAATTACGTCAACCATCAAAATAGCTGCTGGTTGATTTTCAACTTTCGGGTAGTTTGATGTAACAAACGTACTTTTGGAGACTTAAAATACAAGTGCTTTAACTTTGTAGTTAAGTACAGTACTTGAGTAAATGTACTTAGCTCCTGTGTTTTACCTGTGTTTGCTGCAGCCAGCAGGAGGACAAGGAGCGCAGGACGCATGATGGCAGGATCACCACTGACGAGTCTCATGAAAGTTGGATCCAGAACCTGCAGACAAATTCTTACAGACTCAGATGTTTCACAGCTTATTTTGAATTCTGTTCCCGTTTCACTAACGGCCTCTTTCAGAAAGCTGAAGATCAAGTTTGTCTACGAGCTCTGGACATTATCTGTCGCCTTAAAGGGAAATCAATAGAAGTGGCAGCAGTACATGAAAACTGAGGTCAGATTCTCTAATGTCTATAATCACACAACCAGTTCAGCTCTCAGACAGAATGAACAAATTTGGGGTGACTGAGATTTGACTGTCATTTTAAAGTCTAACTAATAAACTCGAAGAAGGGAATCGTACTAAATTCTGAAAGTTCTTTCATTGCAGAGGATTTGTCTGAATCATTTGGGCTCATTTTAGATTATGATGTCACTCTGAAGTGCAGAGGTCAATTTTTATCTCAGTCAAACAGAATCATTTTCTATCTGTGAGGTGAAATGTTAAAGTCTCACCTGCTCGTCAGTCGTCAGTCTTCACCTTCAGAGAGTTTCCTGAATCACGTCCTCCTTCCTCTGCTTCACATATGGAAACACACATTTGTCAGTCAAACACGGGGTGATTTGGAAGATGTTTGCATAAGATGCACATCAGTGTTGGTGTGGAGGAGGACGAGGAGAAGGAGGAGAAGCAGTAACTATCAGGAGTAGTGAGTTTTATTGAAGGTTGAAGGTTCAGTTTGTCAGATTTATGGGGATTTAATGGAGTCTAGTGGTGAGGACTGCAGATTGCAACCAGCTGAAGCTTCTCCTGGTCAGAATTCCTTCAGTGTTCATTGTTCAGGAGCTGAAGTATCTTCCTCTTTGAAACAAACAGACCAGCTGATTTAAACTGGTAAAAACACTGAATAAAGAAGATTCACATAACAAGTCAGTGTTTCTCTGACACTGTTGGGCATATCAAAGATGGGCTGCTAGCTCAGCACTCACTGATGTGCACTCACCTTTTTTCTCTGATAACTTATGATCCAGGGACCGTTTCCACAAAACACCTTAAGTTTTCTTCTTAAGTATGACACTTAAGGCTTAATTCTCCTTAGCTGAGGGACTTATACAGTTGCACAGAGTCCCTTAAGAGGTTTCCTTAGATTTTTACAGCGGTAAAAGTTTCCATGGAGACTCTTTGTTTGTTTGCTTAGACTTACGCTCATGACACCTGTTATCGTCTCACAGAGTTGACCACAAAATATCTCCATACTGCTTGTCCATAGTGATCCACATGTCTCACAGTCTCGTGCAAGCGCTTTCACGTGGTTTCGCTGGTCTTTCGCGCACACGTGAGCGCAGTGCACAGAGAGGCAGTCAGAGCTACAGGCTACAATGAGGCTAAAAACAGAGTTCAAATGAGGTTTTTCCAAACAACTTTTTATGTCGGGGCTTCAGGACACTTGGATCACTACGGACGAGCAGTATGGAGATATTTTGTGGTTTCAATTATGTGTTTTTGGACGTTTGAATCTGGGGCGCCGTCAGCCTCCATTAGGTGGAGTTGTGTTGCTACCTCCTCTCCACTTGGATCTCAGCAAGTGATGTGAGGACTCTAAAACTTCACCTGAGTCTCCCTCGGCATATGGGTGAGTAGATAATGGCTGAATTTTCATTTTTGGGTGCACTATCCCTTTAAGAGAACATTTTGAGGAAATCTTAAGGAGAAGACTTAAGGGTGTTTTGTGCAACCGATTTTAGTATTTTGAGGAAACCTTAAGTAGAGCTTTAAGGAAAATCTTAACTTAAGGTGTTTTATGCAACCTGCCCCTGACGTTCAGGAGGTTTTTACAGTGAGCTGAATTATCACTTCCTCCCTGAAACAAACAGACGTGATGATTTAAACCAATAAAAACACTGAATGAAGCAGTTTGATATTTAAAAATCAGTGTTTTTCTGACGCTCTTGTCACACAGTGGCTTCAAACAACGGTGGCCAACCCTGAAACTTAATGTCTCTATCTAGAGCCAGTGTTTGGTTTGTCCGTTCTGGGCTACTGTAGAAACATGACAATGAGTCTTACCTTCAGGTGATTATACTCTGTAGAAAACATACTTATTATATTATATTATATTATATATCTGCCAATATGTCCTCCTGAATGTGACACTGGAGCTTTACTGCTCTGATCATTGTTGGGTCAGCCAAACTGCTGTTGGTTGTCTTTTAGTTTCCTGATCTGATCTGGGGTCAGTTTGAAAGTCAAATGAGTCTGAGCTTCATCTTGTTCTGCTTCAGCACACACACACACACACACACACACACACACACACACACACACACACACACACACACACACACGCACACACACACACACAGCTCTGTGTGGAAGGAAAGGAAGCAACAAGTTAATCAATCAGGCACAAGACACCAACTACTGCAGAGATAAACAGGAAATTAACTCACATTAAGTAATAAATAGATATGATTGTCAAAATAAATGTACATTTTTTAAAACATATAAACATGAAAATTCAATAGATCATATTTTAACATCAGCAGATGTTTTTATTTTTGTCTATTAAGATTTAAAAACATAAGAAATCGAGCAAAAATACAATCAAGAAGCTTGAACTTCTCGTCCACTTTATTATGTGAATGTGATATTTATCCAATAATCAAATAATCACATCCACATTATTTTTATCCACACAATTATTATTAATATATCAACATGTGTGAACAGTTTTAAACAAAACAACAAAAGAGAAACACTGTTTTTATTATTATTATCATTGTATTTATTTATAGACGCAGAGTGTGTTAGGACACTTCCTTTCATTCATAATGTGTTTCACTCACATTAATCACAACAGGAACAGTTAATTTAAATGTTATAAAAGAATCATATTTTTTTAGATCCAGTTAAGATGTTCAGCAATTAAACTACTGAATCAAAAGTAGTATTAAATATTATAAAAAACATGTATATTTAACTTGTTTAATTTGTTTGTTGTTGGGGACATGTTCTGTGTTTGGACACAAGATGGCGCTACAGACAGGTTCATTAACAGCAGAGCTGCTCAGACAGTCTTCATGGACAAAACCTGACAATAAATCACTTTTATTATTAAGATTTAATTATCTGAAATCTAAGAATTGTGTTTCTGCTTTTACACAATGAGGCCAAAAGTATGTGGACACCCGAGAACACCTGGACAGAATCACCTGGTGTGTGTTGTTCTCAGATTGTCCACAAGGTGGCGATGGCTCCCCTCTTTAACCCTCAGTGGTCAATAACCTCATTACTGTAAGGTCTAAACAGACAAGTATGGCTTCTGGCTGAGCACACACACACACACACACACACACACACACACACACACACACACACTGTAATCCTCGCTCTACATTAAACCTCCTTTTGTTAATTCTGGTTGTTGTAGTTGTGTAACTGTCAGCTGTTATCTAACTGACAGAGCTACACTTTCAATGTGGGACAATGTGTGTGTGTGTGTGTGTGTGTGTGTGTGTGTGTGCTGTTCTAGTTGTTATTTTTACAGCAGTTTTTGACCATGTTAGTGGGGACATTTTGTAAAATGAGGACATTTTGGTAACGTAACAACCTTTCTTGGAAACCACCGCTTGGAATCATTTTTTGACATTTTAGGGAAAGTGAAGATGATTTTTGGAGGTGAGGACATTTTCCAAAATTGGACACTTCCGGAAAATTAGGGCTTCAAAAAATTAGATATAAAGAAAAAATGTATTTAAAACAAAACAAAGCAAAAAGCAACAAAAATGAAGACATTTTATAAAATTGGGACACTTATAAAAAGTTTGAAACTTTTTGGACATTTTTGGAAAGTGGGACCCTTTTTTGGAAAATAAAGTCCTTTTAGGAGCATAAGGGAGATCTTTTTAACGGTGAAGACACTTTGGAAACACTTTTTTTGAAAGTAGGGTGATTTTCTTTTTAGAACAGTATGGACAATTTTGGGAGGTGAAGACATTTTGTAAAATGAGGACATTTTGGTAACGTAACAACCTTTCTTGGAAACTGATATCCTTTTTGGACATCCTAAATGTCCTTATTTTCCCAAAAAGTGCTACAAATTTTCAAAATGTTTTTTAAAAAAATTGTTTTAAATTTTTTTTTAGGGAAAGTGAAGATAATTTTTGGTGAGGACATTTTCCAAAAATAGGCACTTAGGGGAGTGCCCAATTCCTAAAGTCATGACTTTTTAAATCTATATCTATAGGTACATCTATATATAATTTAAACAAAAAAAAACTGAGGACATTTTGAAAATTGGGAGCACATTTTTGGAAAACAATGACATTTGTGTGTATTAGTGTAATACATTTAAAAGTGAGGACATTCTGCACATTTCAGGAATGTGAGAACAGTTTTGGAAGGTAAAGACATTTCATAAAATTGGGACACGTTTGAAAAGTTTGGATTCTTTTTGACATTTTTGGAAAGTGGGGCCCTTTTTTGCAAAATAAAGTCATTGTAGGGGTATAAGGGAGATTTTTTAAAAAGTGAAAACATGTTGGGTGGTTTCAGAAAGTGAGGACATTTTTGGGAGGCAAAGTCATTTTGTAAAATTTGGACAATTCTGAAAAAGTTTTTTTCAAAGTGTTGTCTTTTTTTTAGGACAGTGTGGACATTGTGCGTGTTTGAAGAAAGTGAGGACATTTGCGGATTTTTGAGGAAAGTGGGGACATTTCTGAAAAATCAGGACAAATCTGGAAAGTTTTTTGCGAAAGTGGGGTGATTTTCTTTTAAGGAAAGCGAGGACATTTTTTGGAGACAAGGAGAATTTGTAAAGTTAGGACATATACAGTAGGACATTTTTGGGGAGTGAGGACAAGCAGGAGAACTCTGGAAATGGAAATCCCCCCCAAAACAAGTTGGGTGATATGTATGTCTATATTTGTATAAACTAAAGATATATTTGAACATTTCCAGAAACATTTTTGTTCATTTCAGGAAATGTGACGATAATTTTGGTCAAAACATTTTGTAAAACTGTGGACAGTTTTTCAGGAAATAAAGACGTCTTTCTGATTATAGTCTTTAAACACACTGATCACGTGCATGTATCTATCTATATACACTGAATGTGTGTGTGTGTGTGTGTGTGTGCATGTGTGTGTCCTTTAATCTTTAATCTGGCTCTGGATTAGATTTTATAGGAAGTCTTACACAATGACATCATGGTGTGGATGTAGCCCCGCCCTCCTGGTGACATCACACACAATGAGAGCAAAGACACAGACACACTCTTCATCTCTCTGTAGTGACATCGACAGCAGCAACATGGCAACATTCGTCTCTGTGAGTAGATCAAACGTTATTTTTAATATTCAGTCATTTTTTAATGTGTCTGGTTCTGTGATTAGATGATGATGATGATGATGGTGATGATGATGAGGATCTTTGTTAGTTTCACTTTAAATAAATCTGACTTGGAGACAAAGAAGAGAGGAGGTGATCTGTGAGACAGCAGAGATGTTTTATCATTTTATATGTCAGGAAAAAAATGTTTTAACCTGTTAGTCTGTTTGTCACAGTTCAGGCATGGACACA